TTTCTTTTAATTTTCAATTTTTTGAAAACTATTTGTTTTGTTATAAATTTCCTTTCAATTTTTAGCCTTTCTTTTCGTTTAATGTTGCTTAATTATTTAAAGGCTTCAGATTTTCTTTAAAATAGTTTGTATTTTGTGTTGTTTGTGTATGTGTTTCAACAAATAAACCAGATGAATTCACTTCTCAAAAACTTTGGTTGTTTTTTTTTCGACGGTTACAGGGAGCCACGCATCCAATCTTCTTCGCAGGCAAAATCAAAAAGGAACGAAATTTTTCCATTTAATCAGGAAGAAAGCTCCTGTCATCATATTTTTTTTTTGTTTATAATTTATTCCAATTCTCTCAGTCGTGTTTTGTTTGACATTATTCACAAACATATGGTTTGACTATTGTGAATGATCGTAAATATGCATGCTTCTTCTTATTTTCAATAGCAAACTGAGGCGCACCCCACATATTTTTTTTAAATTTTATGAAAATATCTGAAAGTGCATTTGTGGATCACTATGTGGAAAGCGAAAGATCCACGACCTAATCGCATTTAATCCACCTGATGCGATTGTAGTATGTAACAAAAATCTATTTCCAAATATGAATATATTGTTACAAATTTTAATAGAAATACCAGTAACCACTGCAACAGCTGAAAGAGGGTTTTCTACCCCACGTCGAGTAAAAAAGTAGCTGAAAATTAAATACAAAGCCCACGTTCTTCTATCTGTGCATAAATATGTAGTAAATACTGATCACATAACTTCTATCTTCTAAAAATAGAAGACGTTATTTGAAATATACATTTTTTAATATGCAAAACATTTAATATATACGCAATACATTAAGAGTAATGAAGTTATATATTTTTGTGAGCTTAATGAATATAAAATATTGTCTTTAATTCTAATACATTTTCACGATTAGTAATGCATTTCCATGTATTTTTTATTAAACATATAAAAATTTAACGTGCGTACACATGATTTATATTCAAATAATACATTTTTTAGAACTAAATAATCAACTCATCTCATATTTAAGGAAGGCAACATTTGACTTTTTTCATGACGGAACAGAATCCAGACAGTATGTTCGAATTGCCCCAGACACATAATACCAACCTCAATATACAGCAAACACTGTAAAGCATGTAGGGTTGAGTATAATGAGTATATAATAATATATGGCGTGGTGAATATCCCAATGATTAATGGTATACTGGACGGAACAGTGTATGTTAATATCCTAACAATAATAATAGTATGGTACCATATGTCAGTTAGGAAAAGCCCATTACATGGTAATTCCAACAGGATAATAATCCTAAACATACTAGCAAACTCGCAGAGAACTGATTTGTATCCGAAAGGATTGACCTAATGGCACGGCCTTTCGCCGGATCTTAATCCGATAGAACATTCTTTGACAGGTGTAAAACGAGGTATGGTCAATGCCAAACTTACAAAAAAAAAACCGAACTATGGGATGCAGTTCAAGATGGGGCCCACATACCAAAAAATGCGATGCGAGGACCTTATCGACTCTATCCATGCCGTTGCAAGACTGAAATTAAAAATAAGGAATTTTCAACAAAATATTAAATAAACCAAAGCTATACGTGTATGAACTATTTTATCCAAATTAACTACTACTATTATTATAAACATTAACACAGCAAATTTTGACTTTTTTCTTTTATTAGTAATTTTTTAATGCAAAAGCTTTTTTCGGGAACATAACAAAATGAAGTAAAACTATTTATCCGCCCAATTTAATTAGAACAAATTAAGTTTTTCTAAACAATTTTACAGTTGAGTACTTACAACTTAATTGCACTACTATTTTAATGAATGTATTTATTATTTTACAAGCTGGCTGGGCAAACACCCAACGTGGTGTAGGGTGTTTTCCCCTTTCTGGTCTTACCTCCCATTCGAATTTAAGAATGTAATAGTTTTTCAAATGCGATGGATTTATTTATCATTTTATTCAATTGATATTTTAGTTTATTTTTTACGTAAACACATTTTTAATTCATTTATCTTGAAATCCAGTTTAATTTAGTGGTTATTATACAAAAGAGTTATAATAAAACGTGTTTCTTTAAGTACCTACACTTTTTGTACTAACTGTTCTTCGTATAACAATTGTGCTTTTCACTTGTGTACGTTCAACGTATACGTATAACAGTTTTATTCATTCCACTGCGTAATGTGGTTGCCCTCTTCGACAAAGCTTTTTCAAAAAGCTTAATAGTACAAGAACAAAAGTAAAAGTATAGCACTGGTACAGTGTGAGTTTCCGTAGTGTAGTGGTTATCACGTGTGCTTCACACGCACAAGGTCCCCGGTTCGAACCCGGGCGGAAACAGCCTGTAACCAATATTTTTAAAATGTTTGTTATAAGGGATAGAATATTTTGTGGATAAATAATATACGGTCGAATTCGGATAAGCGAACGCCGGTTTATCGAAAAAATCGGTAAATTGAAACTAATATTTCGGATGAATGTTCAAACACTTTACTTCGCTTAAAATAAAAACCGGTTAATTGAAAATCTGTATAAGTGAAAGACTTTTTTTATTGCAAAAACACAAATATATATGAAACAAGCAGCGTTTAAGAGAAAAATATAATTTTTGTAAGGGCGACGAAATTCATTAACATTTGTATGTGCAACCCTAAAATTATGTTTCACATTTATCCAACCATCCATTAATCATTACTCAATTAATTTTATAACATGATTTATAAATTTCACGGTTTTTCACATATTGATTGTAAACTTCGTTTAAGCGCAACGAATTTCGCTTATCCGAAGTTCTTTTAATTGAAAATTCTGCTTAAGAATTTTTTTTCTGAAATTAGGCGTTTTCACTTAACCGAATTCGACTGTATTATTTTAGCGATATCATTTGTTTTTGGTACATAAAAATTAAATAAAAAATAAAGCATTTTCTTCTTAAGTTGATCATCTCTAGAAACTTGTTTTACATACAAAGCATAAAATAATTAATTTCTAATAATTTTGTTTCTAAAAATTTTTTTCACAATTAAGTTTGCGATTTTAGTGAAAAAGTTATATCTTTTTGCAATAAATCCGTTAAACTTTCGATTTCGTTTAATTTGCAAGTATCTATAATCCCCTAAGAAATCCCCTAATACGAAATACATTTTTATGGTATTATGGTAGTTAATTGATATACATATACATCGCGACTCTAAAAAAATAATCAATCGCAAAAATGATAACACTGTGTGTGTAAATACCAGCGCTCAATTTGAATTGTCAAACTGTTAAATTTGTAGACAAAAACAAAAATATATATTTTTGTATTTTTTGTGTTATTAACTGCATTTATTTATCAATAAACATATGATTAGATAGATCTAAATCGGTGAAAAAAATTAAAACAAATAATGAATCACAATAAATATAATGGCAACTGGCAATGATATGGAAAAGTAATATTTTGATATGCAGTCGAATCCGAATTCCTGCGATTTTGGAAATTAGTAATATGGTACGAAGTTCGAATTATTCCTCGTAGACCCGATAGAATCTAGATTGCAATATTTAAGATAGAGCTGACATTTTGAAAAGACACCGCCAGACATATTTTTAAAACAAATTGAAATTTTGGGTTTTAAAAAAAACTATTGGTCAACTTTTTAAAGTAGCCCCATATAACTGTTGTGGGTACCCCCCTCTCCCCTACTGAAATTGTGGAATTGTTCACCAAGGAGTAAGGCAGGGATTTTTTAAATTAAAGGCAATCACGAAAGGGCATTCAATATTTATGATTATACCCTCCACCACACTTCCGCACAGTGTATTATTTCTTTGTGACTATGTTTCTAACAGGCAAAAGGAATCGAGATAGACCCATGATTCCTTTTGAGAATATGCATAGAGTCACTTTTTGAGTCGATTTATCCATGTCCGCCCGTCTGTCCGTCCGTTTGTCCATGTTAAATTGTAAACAAAGTACAGGTCGCATTTATGATCCGGATAAAATTTGGCACAGCTCATTTGTTTTTCTGGAATATTTAAAATGGCAAATTTTTAAATGTCAAAATATATTGTGGCTAAAATCTGAAATCTTCGAAAATCAGGTAGTATGTTATGTGGGATCCATTCCAAAAAATGTATCGATATACAATGTCTTCGCCAAATTTCAGATTTTTTTTTTTATTGAAAACGTGTCAAGCAGACGATAGCTTATAATGTAAAGTCAGAAAAATGTCCTATTTTTAGAACAACAGCGTTTGATAACAAAAAGAATATAGTATATTTACTCTAAGCAACACAACACCTCTTCAATTTCAGATATGTATTTTGATCGTGTGTTGCGTATTTTTTATATTTTTCTATCACCCTAACAATAGATTCGAAGCGAAGTTTTAATTTTAGAAAATATGCAATTTTGCACATTAAAAAAATAATAATATAAATACAGACTTTATTTGTATAATATTTTTATATAAGCTTTTAGGGCTGATTTTATATAAGCTTTGGTGAAAGCTCTCTACATGTTTTTATTATCCAAGAAATATGTAAATGAGTTTAAATAATTTCGCATAGAGAAAACCCAAAATCAATTGGATTTTGAACGATGACCTTTTCAAATCATATATTGCATGCATGCACAGCTAAATTATCGTGGGTAAAGGTCCACACACACATAGTTTGGCTCTCTCTTTCCCTATCTCTCTCAATTTCTCTCTACCTCATATCAAACCATAGATTAACAAAATATAGTAAACAAACGTAAATTCAAAACTATGCTCCAAACTTTTGACACGCTCACTGCATTTGTGGAGCCATTCAAAGACTTTGTCTAGACGACAAACAAAAAGCTCTCTTAAATTTTGCGGTTTTTTGACAAATGCCCCATCATCGTCAGTTTGACAACAAAAGACGACCAACAGAAATTTTAGTTATTTTCTTACTCTCCGTTTGATAACAACAAACCGATTTCAGTTTGGGTGGTTAGACGCGACGCGACGAGTTCATAAAACAATGAGTGTTGAAAAGTTGGACGCAATAATATTCGGTGCCACCGGTTTTACCGGTCAAGTGGTGGTCGAAGATGCCGTCGATATATTTAGGGATTTCAAATGGGGTATTGCAGGAAGAAATGAAGTAAAAATCAAATGAAAATTTCAATATTTGTTGTGAAACAATCAATGGTGGCGTGTAAAATAATTCTCTTTCCCTTTCTCTGCAGTCTAAACTAAAAGATCTTTTGGTGAAAGTCGGCAAACGCACCCAACAAGATTTGAGTCATATTCCCATTATTGTGGCCGATGTCAGCGATCAAAAATCAATTGAAAATATGGCGAAAAAGTGCAAGGTTTGTTGATAATCTATACCATTACCTCTAAGAATGTATGTAGGCACAGTGTTTTGAAACCGATAAAAATACTTTTATTATTGATATGTAGTATTATTGAATTGTAGTATTTTCATTATATCTTTGAGTTAGGTTCATTTTGACCCCTAACCCTTACATTTAGGGGATTGGGTCTGAATTTGGCAATATTAACTGAAATTATTATATATTTTTTGGGCTATTTTCACAGTCTATTTGATATTAAAGAAAAATAATCTACATTAAATTTCACTATAAGTCAGCGACCAAAAGAAATCTGTATATATATTACATATCAAGAAAATGTGTGTTCGAAATTGGGTGTGTGAAGCATAAATTATTAAATATTTATTTTTGACTTAATTCACAATATTTTTGAGTTGGGTTCATTTTGATCCATAACCCTTCGTTTAATGAGAAAAATATTCTGTACCAAATTCCACTGTAGGCCGTGGAATAAAGGACATCTTTATATATAATGGGTATATATAAACAGAAAATAATTGTTTTCGACTTGGGTCCATTTTAACTAACCACTAACCCTTGCTTTTAGTGGAATGATATTAAGGGGAAAGTATGCTGCGCCAAATTGCACAATAAATCACTGATCAAAAGAAATCTGTGTATATACACTGATGGCCAAAACTAAAGCAACTAAAATTGCATTTAATTAATGCCGCATAACTTTTTTCAAAAATATATATTAGGTTGGGTAAAATGAAATCCATTTGACCGGTCGTCGAAAATTTCAATAAAATCGGAGAAATTATCGAATTTGTCTGGCATGTTAGCAGGCGTAACATCGCCCAGGAGCTAAAAGTTGACTATAAAACTGTTTTAAACCATTTACAACACACAATGCTGGATTCAAAAAGAAGCTCGATGTTTTTGTGCCACACCAATTAACAGAAAAAAATACGATGTATCGAATTTCAATCTTCGAATCCTTGGCCAAACGGAATTAGATAGACTTATTTCTTAAACGGATGGTGACTGGAGATGAAGCACTTCAAACGGTGGCCAAACCAGGACTTAAGGTCAGGAAGGTTCTGGCGGGAGTGGAAGGGGATTATATATTATGAGTTGCTTCCATATGGCCAAACGCTAAATTCTGACCACTACTGTCAACAACCTGACCGTTTGAAGATGAAAATCGACTACTAAAGTAAAGCAAATAGAGAGCAAACAGAGAGCAGGACTTCTATGAGAGAGCCATTATGAAGTTACAAATCAAAATGTCAACAAATCATATAACAAAACGGTGCATATTTGGAAATTCCGAAGCATGTTAAATAAAGTCCTATAGTTCATATCGTGTTGGTTTTTTCAGTTTTTAATCGGGTACTTTATTCGCATTATGGTTCCCTTCGCTGAAGAAAATATACCGCTTATTTTTGCGTTTCAGCTTGACAATAACCTCCAGCATACACCAAAACATGTCAATGATGGGTTGTGGGGGTCAAAAATCAGGGTTTTATAATGGCCAACACAATCATCAGATATTTACCTTATAGAAAATCTTTGTAGTATCATAGATAGCAAAATCAGAAGATTTTCACAAACAAACAAAGTTCACAAGTTCAGGATGCGAGGAGTAGTACTATAGAAATAAATTGAACATCTTATTAGTTCAATGCCTCGTAGGTGTGCTGCCATAATTTCAAAAAAAAAAAATTTCATTTCAAAAACAAAAAAAATGCGTTTACGTTTTTTGTTTTTTTATGGACAATAATATCAAATGCATCAAGTCATCCTGTTCATTTGACATATTTTTATTACCAAAAAAAGTGAAAAATGAACGGAATGTTAGGTTTTTTTCAAAATCGAGTTGGGGATATGATTTACATATTGATTCATCCATCGGATTCGTGGCCTTCCCCTTTTGCGTGGGCATTGCTTGGCTCACTTTTATATGCCTATTGAGCTGGGACATCTTCGTCCATTCTCACGACATGGCCTAACCAACATAGTCGCTGCAACTCGATACGTCGAAGTCACAGAATATATGGCTGCCACAAGGTAATGGTCCGAATCGATATTCGCTCCTCGGATCGATCGAATGTCTAAAACACTGGATGAATGCCTTCCGTCTATAAACAGTTACTCAAATACATTTTCCAGGAATTCGTTAATTTTTACCAACTCAACAAACAATTTGAGAGTGTGGGTTGTTTATTTCGATTGACTGAGATCCTTCTAGATTGGTGTAATTTCCATCAAAATAAACTATAGATACACAGTAACTGTTTATTATTCTCTTATAAATTCTTGTTTTACAATTCAATGAAACTTTTTTGTTTAAAAATCTTGTAATTGCTCCAATTAGTTCTACTGTTATTATTGACCATGATTTTAACTTCTTATTATAAAATATATGGTTTTTACACATAATTAATCGCTCCAATACATTGCATGATAAATTATCAATAATTGTTTTGTGTTTTTATTTTCGTATTACAGATTGTTTTGAACTGTTGTGGACCTTACCGTTTCTATGGTGAGGTTGTAGTTAAGGCGTGCATCGATGCTGGAACCCATCACGTGGACGTCAGTGGTGAACCACAATATTTTAATGGAATGCAACTTAAATATAATGACTTGGCACAACAAAATGGATCGTATATCGTCTCGACATGCGGCTTTGAGAGCATACCAGCTGAGTTGGGTGTTCAATATGCTGAAAAGAATTTTCCAGGTAGGGGGTTCTAAAGTATAGCAGTCCTTTGGCTCGATTCAACTGTAACGACTTGTCTCGACTAGACTAGCTGAATGGTCTAAAAAGACTCCCTTCAGCTCGTCTATAAAGACTCCCTTCAGCTCGTCTATAAAGACTCCCATCAGCTCGTCTATAAAGACTCCCATCAGCTCGTCTATAAAGACTCCCTTCAGCTCGTCTATAAAGACTCCCTTCAGCTCGTCTATAAAGACTCCCTTCAGCTCGTCTATAAAGACTCCCTTCAGCTCGTCTATAAAGACTCCCTTCAGGACGTCTTTAAAGACTCCCTTCAGGACGTCTTTAAAGACTCCCTTCAGGACGTCTTTAAAGACTCCCTTCAGGACGTCTTTAAAGACTCCCTTCAGGACGTCTTTAAAGAATCCCTTCAGGACGTCTTTAAAGACTTCCTTCAGGACGTCAATAGCGGTCGTTTTAATTTCTTTTTACAAATGTCTCTTTTCACATTACTTTCAGGAACCGTAAATTCTGTCGAACTATATTGGGAATCCAAGCCAAATTACCAAGATAAATCATCTAAAGCTATTTTGCACACCGGAACTTGGGAAAGTGCCATCTATGCTATGCAACATGCTAAAGAAATGTTGACATTGGAGAAAAAAGTTAACACTGAGAAGATTCCAAGTTTGAGTCCTAAATTATGGATGAGGTAAGAAAGCTGATTGCTTACTAGTTTCGCGAGTGTTCCATCAGAAGGTCTTCGGAAGTACCTTGCAAGGTTGCCCTGAATTCTTATTTTATTTTTATTTAATTTCCTTTTCAAATCCCTTCCAGACCTTATGCCCATCAAACCGAAGGCCTCAAGAGTTATTTTGCACCATTTCCAGTTACTGACCGTGGTGTTGTCCAAAGGTCTCAGCGATTAGCCTATGCCTATGATAAGAAACGACCAATTCAATTTGAAATATATATTGGCATGAAGTAAGTCCAATCACTGATTTATGAAGAATTTCACTCATATCAAACATTCACTTTTCAATTTCTTCTTCGTTAGATCCTTGCTGATGGCCTTGCTATTTCCAGTTTTCATGTTATTCGGTGTTATTATGGCCAATATTGGTTTTACACGTAAATTACTTTTAAAATATCCTCACATCTTCACCTTGGGCCTAATGACACATGAAGGACCCACGGAAGCCAACAGGAAAGCTATGGAATTCCGTTATACCTTAAAGGCAAAAGGATGGACTACCGGTACTTCCGAATCTGCTGCACCCAATAAAGAAGTTGTAGTCCGTGTTACGGGCAAGGATCCATGCTATGGTATTACCAGTTGCGTTTTGTTGTTATGTGCCAAAACCATTTTGAAGGAACACAACAAAATGCCCGGAAAGTAAGTTATCAAAATAATATTGGAATTTATTTTTACGTTAAATGGTGATGTGTGTGTGTTTCATTGCAGGGGCGGAGTTCTGCCACCAGGATTTGCATTTGCCAAGACAAGTCTTCTGGAAGAAGTTGGTAAACATAAATCGGGTTTGAAATTTGAAGTAATTCAACAGTAATTTTTTTATTGAGAAAATGTGACAAGACTTTGTTATTTTTTATATACAGCCAATAAAAATATTGAAGAAAAACGTATTTGTGAAAGAAAAATATTTTTTTAGTTTAGAGTAACTTCGGGTAATGTGGACCACCATTTTCTTTTTTTGATATTGTGGGCATAACAACGGTTAAAAATAAAAACAATTTGTTTTCACAACTTAGTAGATTTGTTGTCTAAATATATTCCAGGCCAAACATTATATATATTTGTCTATAAAAATGTTATTGCATTATATTTCAAAATACTCTTAACTGCGTAAAAAAATTACTTGGCGGGTAATGTGGACCAGTATGTGTGGGTAACGAGGATCAGTAAGTTAAAGGTATGATGTGTATTGGTTGTGATAAATTTCAATTTATTGCACTCTTAGGTAACAATTAATGCAAAAATATATGGGTTCATGTTATGGAATAGCCCCCATTTAAGGGTACCGCCCCATTTGCGGTATTTTGAAGGTCCTTGCTTCGTTATCCAACCGAAGCACCCGAAATTTCGCATATCGAGTGTCCAGAGGATAGAATACCTCCTCGCATATTAAATGCGCCCATGTTTCGAACTCGTCCTCATGTAAAGGTCCCAATTTTTATAGTGGTCCACATTACCCGACACTAAATATTTTTATTTAAAAATAATTATCGGCTTCAAAAATTAATAAAAATTAAAAATTTCCGATTGTAATCACAGAGTAAACCTATATTTTTGTTAAAGAAAACAAGAAAACCACATAACTTCTTGATATTCGAGAAAAACCAAGTGTTCGACTATTTTGCAAAAACGTTCGACTATTGTGCTAAAAAATTTTCAAATCACACTTTTACAATCAGAGCTAAATTTTCTACTACTAAATTTACAACATTGCAATTATTTATTAAAAACCAAGTCTGATGTTTGTTTTCACTAATAAGGAAAACATTTATCAAGGCGGCATTGCCATATGTCAAGCATTTTCTTAGATATGGGAGGTGGTCCACATTAGACGCCTGGTCCACATTACCCGAAGTTACTCTACTGAAGTTAGATCAAAAATGCGTCTTCGTGTATCAAAGAAAAAATAATTCGTATGTTATATGAATAGTGTTCAGAAAGTGTTGTCAATGTCAGGATTTCTGCATTTTATGGATGCAATTCATAAAACTTTAAATACTGGTTTCTGGTCAGGGAGAGAGAGAGGTTGCATAGGGTAGTCTTTTGTCTGCAGGCAGGTCAAGTTCGAAGTCGGTCCACGTTTAGGCATAGCTCCCATATAAGGGTACCCCCAGTTTTCGGTATTTTGGGGTTCTTGAGCACGTTTTTCAACCGAATTCGCTGAAATTTGCTACCTTGGATTCTTATTGGGAACCAAATTTTTCCACAAAAGATTATAAATATAGGTCCAATATTTCTGGTAGCCCCCATATAGCGATACCACCTAATTTTCAGTATTTTGGGGGCTTTTGATCATATTTTTCCACCGAACCAAACTCGTGTAAGTGACTGCGGAAGTGCCCATATGTATACTTGTTGGTATGTTCCCCATATTTTCATTTCAAGTAACTAACAGTTGGAGGGTATCCAAAGTTCGGCCCGGGCGAACTTAATGCCTTTTTCACTCGTTAGCATTTATATCGAAATAATTTGTAAAATACATATGAGAATTTTGCAACGCCAATGCAGTAAGAGTGAAATAAAGAAACAATGGAATTCAAAACTAGTCACAATCGAGTGAGTGGAAAATCGGCGGTTGTTGGCAACAGAAGCAGTAGTGAAATAAACGGTTGCAAAATTTATAACAACCAAGTAAGGGGAGAGACGTAGCACGATACCAAAACAAAACACAGCTTGTGGTGATGTTTTTTCCTTGGAAGGGATACTTTTTTTGTCATATACTTTTTTGCTTGAAATTATTAAAATGTTCAATTCGACATATTCAATTCAATCAAAATAATTCATTTCATGCTATTCGAATTATAGCCAGTCATATCCGACCGTTTGTGATGCCGCTTGCAACTCCTCAAAATATTTGTTGATTTTTGAATTAAATTTCCTGAAATTTGTCGATATTGATGGTTCTATGGCATCAACCCTTTTAGGTACTATCGAAGGATATTTTATTTTATTTCAAATATGCTGAACAAAGTTTGCACCAAAGTCAAATCCCCATTCGCCGCCTTATTTATATTTGGTAAAGCAATCCGCGTCAGACATAATGCACCTATACCAGCTTTTTTTCCTTCAAAGACGAAAAAGTCAATGGGGCGAAGTCCGGTGAATACAGTAGTAGTTGGCTTGAAACTGTTGTTTTTTTCAAAAACTCACACTCAAACATTGGCGCACCACCTTATTGCAGTCGAAGAATACAGTGAGCCAAACCTTCACATTTTACCGAATTCGATGTGCTTTTTCAAGTCTTGATCTTCTTGACGTTTTCATTTGTATGATATGGTTTTGGTTTCAATGTCAAGGCACACACAGATAATTAGTCATCAGGTATTACCTTTTTGGAATATTCTGAATCATCGTAAACGATGTTCTTCAGCTCCTAAACGATGTCTATGCGAAGTTGTGTTTGTCTAAAATTTAGCAATTTTGGAACAATTTTATGCTAAAACATCAGCAAAAATCCCTTAAAATAAACCGAACCATATGCTAATATCATCAGTATCCTCTCTTCTCAGTCTTATACCACAATTGTCAACATTTCAAATGTCCTTGCGCAATATAATGTGGAACGTATAATAAATTTGTCATTCCGTTTGCAACACCTCGTATTATCCACTTGGTTTTTATAATAAAAATGCCAATATAAATATAAATAAATATAAAAAATAATATAAAAAAATAATGATTTTTTTCAAGATTTCAGCATGTTTAGGTGCCCTTAGCATAGGATTATCAGTCACTTGTCGGAGCAACCACTTTACGTCTCTTAAATTGAATATTTTTTCTCTCTTGTTTTCGGCTTGTAATTATACCCTACACAACTATGTTGTCAGGGTATTATAGCTTTGTGCAGCCCCAAAAGTTTGTAACGCCGCGAAATATTGGTCCTAGACCCACCTTTAAGTATACCGATCGTCATATCTCGACTAGCTGAGTCGATCTAGACATGTGTGTCCGTCCGTCTGTCCATTTTAATTTGTAAACACGATACAGGCCACAGTTATGGATCAATCTTCACGAAATTTTGCATGTAGGATGGGTTCTGGCCAAAGAAGACCCCTATTGTTTTTGGGAAAGATCAGTTAATATTTAGGGGATGGAATGGACCAAATACTAAATTTTTGTCGGTTTTTCTGGTCGCTCCAGAGGCTGCAATAATGGCCCGAACATCTTGAAATTCTGCATGGAGAAGGGGAACGGGCCAAAGAATAAGCATGTCGGTTGGGATAAAGATCGGTCAATATTTAGCGGGTCAAATGGACCCTGACTTTTGTGTGAAAAAAGACAAAATTTGTATTCTATAGCGTATATATTTACCGCTGAAGGACATAGATCAGGGAAGTTGATATTATATCCAAGAGGAGTGGTTGACCTTTAAATTAATACCAATTATATTGTTGTATGTGCTCGGATGTGGGAGTTACACCTAAATATTTACAAGTATCTCCGTATTTGTATATTATTTAGTAACCCATTATCACTCTAGAAAGCGGAACGATAGCGCAGATCGCTTTGAAATGTTCCATGAGATTCCAGTTATGGTCAAGGACAACACCTATAATTTTCGGTGATGATCAGATAATAATTTTGGAATGAAGTGGGCCGAAAACTTAATTTTTTGTGTTATTTTCGAGTCGATCTATAGACCACAAATGAAAGCCGAACATGACAACACAACCCACGTTGAAGGGAATCTGGACAATGGATGTACTGAATACTCGTAATATTCGGAAAATATGTCAGTGTGAGGAAGAAGTGCTGTTTACCTCTAATCGGGCAAGAGGGTGCAAATATCACGAAATATTGCCCAGGCTTGGAATAAACATCCGCAGAAAATTTTAGTTTCGTGGTAGTTTTGTAGGGTATCGTATGGTCGGCCCCGTCCGACTATACTGCTCCGCTCACTGGTTTTTATTTATTTATTACTTTTTATTTTTTTACAGCAGATCGAGTAATATTAAGCATTTCCGCTATTTTCCGATGAGATTTTCCTAGTTCATTCGTTAATCTTTATGTGGCATCCCATGGTCGCAAATTTTTACGATTGCTATTCAAATAAATATAGTGTAAAAAAATTGATGCAAAATTTAACTTGATATTCCATAAGAATATATTCCATGACTTTTAACCGTTATTCAGTTGTAAATAATTCCGGGGGATACTTTTCACAGTGAGATTGCAATTGTTTTTATTTAACAATAATTATACCCTACACAACTATGTTGTCAGGGTATTATAGCTTTGTGCAGCCACATTTAAGTATACCGATCGTAATATCTCGACTAGCTGAGTCGATCAAGACATGTGTGTACGTCCGTCCGTCTGTCCATTATAATTTGTAAACACGATACAGGTCACAGTTATGGACCAATCTTCACGAAATTTTGCATGTAGGATGGGTTCGGCCCAATGAAGACCCCTATTGTTTTTGGGGAAGATCGGTTACTACATAGGGGACGAAATGGACCAAATACTTACATTTGATTTTCTGGTCGCTCCAGAGGCCGCAATTATGGCCCAAACATCGCGAATTTTTACATGGAGAAGGGAATCGGGCCAAAGAATAAGCAAGCATGTTTTGGTAAAAATGGGTCAATATTTAGCGGGCCAAATGGACCTTGACTTTTGTGTGAAATATGACAAAATTTGTATTATAAGGCGTATATATTTACCCCGGAAGGACATAGACTCGAGAAGTTGATAGAATATTCAAGAGGAGTGGTTGACCTTTAAATATATACCAATTGTATTTTCATATGTACTCGCATGCGGGAGTTACACTTAAATATTTACTGGTGCTTACGTATTCAGATATTATTTAGTAACCCATTACCACACTAGAGTGCGGAAATATAGTGCTGATCGCTTTGAAATTTTCCATGAGGGTCCAGTTATGGTCAAGGACAACGCCTATATTTTTCGGTGAGGATCAGTTTCAATTTAAAACCGAACATCACAACACAACCCACGGTGAAGGGAACCTACACAAGTATTTAGAAGGGCTGTTCTGAACATTAGTAATATAAGTTGACCTCTAGTCGGTCAAAAGGGTTCCAATATCGCGAAATATTGTCCAAGCTCGGAATATAGAACCACAAAAAGTTAGATTTTCGTGCAAGTTGTGTAGGGTATCATATGGTCGGCCCCGTCCGACTATACTTCTTCGTCACTGGTTATTTTTATATGTGGATTTTATTTAAATATTGGCTATTTCAATAATTTTAAGTTAGGGGACGTTCATGTTCACACGTAAAAGAAATTAAAATTTTATTATATTATATTACATTGTTATTTCTATTTGATATTGAAAATGGTATATATGGACCCACGTTTTGGTACAGCCTCCATATAACAATACCCCCAAATATTCAATATTTTGGAAATTTTTGGCAAGTTTTTTAACAAGTAATTTGGTATTTTGAGCTTTAATTGAGTAGCAAATCTTGCTACCGAATTTTAAGGATAGAAATATATGGTATTTTGATGATTTTAGGCACCTCTTTCAACAGAATTAACTGTAATTTAGAACTTTGAATACACATTGGGTGCAAATCTTCTTACAAAAAAGTATCAATTTTTGGCCACGTTTTCGCATAGCACCCATATAAACCTCAACATTTCGCCATTTTGGTGACTTTAGACATATATTTCAAACGAATTGTCTCCAATTTGACATTTTGGATTCTCTTTGGGTAGAAAATTTCCCTTCGAGAAAAGTCATCAGAAATCTATATTTTTGGACATAGACACAATAATAAAGGTTCCGTCTGCAATTCAGTATTTGATTATTTACTATGATATAGTTACCATATGAAGTTCTCGACCTTTTTAAGACGCTTCACTTTATGGTGCGTATAAACATATGTGTAAATCTGACATATGAACTCGATAAACTGTTAAAATAACTGTTTTTATCAGACCTAATATATAACATAACAGAAAAAAAATACAAAATCGAACATACGTAACTAACGAAATTCCAAAATTAAGATTATTTTTTGACTTCGCTCTATAATTAACAAAATGGCGGACATTTGAAAAAATATTTTTAGAAAATCACCGATTTTTTTTTTTGCTACAAACCATGTTAAAAAATAAGGAAGATCTTCACCGATTGGCTTTATCCTAGTTCATACGATAGCCGTACACTCACAGAGAAACGTGTAAAAATTTGGAATCGATTGGGTTATCAGTTTTTGAGTTTTGGTTCGCAAAACCAATGTTTGGAGAAAAACGCGTTTAAAATTTGAGAAGCCCTTCAACCGTCACTTGATGAAATTTTCTAGGGACATTCTCGAATTAGTGTAGATTCGAATTAAATCAAAAACAATTTGACACCAAGAATGGGGGGTCCCCTTAATGTAAATTATAAAAATAATTACCAGTAAAGGTCAATGTTTGTAGATATTTATAATATTGTTGTCTAGACTACCGAAAAGCCCACCTTAAATCACCCCTTAACACCAAAGCTGACCTTTGTGAAAACTCACCACAACCAGTCGAACTTATGACTTCATTCCGAATAGTTAACACAGTATATAAAAAGCTCTCATTCGTACAAATATTTCTAAAGCTCCAAGTCATTTTCCTAATTGCCCAATTTAGAGAAAAAAAAATAAATTGTAATGCATCTTTCGTTATTTGTGTCGGAATGCATGTTATTTCGATATAAACAATAATTTATATTGTATTTTGTCGAAACCGGTACTCGGGCAGCAAACTTGACTAGCAAGTTAATCTAAAATAGAATTTGTTAAGTTAGTACGCAGTTTTAATAATGATACCCTACACCAGCTCTCCCATCTTAGTGCGAACACAACTGAATTGGGAACAAATAGTTTCTGACATTAATTATTTAAAAATACAAAAATATTACCAAATATTTTTGAATAATGAAATCAAGCGATTTCCTTCATTCCATAAATGCTGGAAAGTTTTTTTTCCCACACATTGGGACAGATGTTCCTCTTTATCTTTAAGAATTCAATAAATACAATTTATACACATTGAGACTGTTACACAGTTTTTACCCTAATCACGGAATAAAATTGTTTTAATTTATTCCTAAAAGTATTTTATTATATAAATTTCGCCCATGGTGTAGCGCAACATATTGTCGATATCACTTACCAATGTCAACAACATCGTATTTATTTCTAATTGTAGGTTTCTCATACAAAATAGAATACATACATACGTAATGGCTAATACATTTTTGTGGCCTTTGTTAAAGTTTATTAAGACTTTATTTTCTAAATTCAGTTTTATTTCAACCGCGAAGCGTTAACATCCCGAAAAAATATTCATTTTGATATGAGCGGAGAAAAGTTAGATGCGATTATTTTCGGTGCTACGGGGTTTACGGGACAAATTGTTGTCGAAGATGCCATTGAAATATTCAAAGATTTAAAATGGGGTATTGCGGGTAGAAATGAGGTCAATATCGAAAAAATATGACTAAGTTTATCTTAAATCAAGGTTGAAATAAATATTCATTTGTAGAAAAAACTCAAAGAATTGTTGGAAAAAATTGGCAAACGAACCAATACTGATCTAAGTCAGATTCCAGTTGTTGTAGCGGATGTTGGTGATGAAAAGTCCATTGAGAATATGGCAAAAAATTGTAAGGTAAGTGCGATATATTTCGGTGTGTATACAGATGAGGTACTTTGTTCCTAGAACTTGTAAAAAGTATGAAAAACTAACAAAACTACCAAAAACTATTACAAAAGGTCCAATGCAAGGCCTTTGGCCCTAGAAATCTTCTTAAAATTATTGAAATTAAAGTTGGCGTTGGAGCAATTCAATGATGAACTTGGAGCGGAAATTTGAGTAGCCTTCAAAACACATGTGTATAAATTTGGAATCGGTTTTAATAGATGTTTAATAAATTACTGATTTTGAATGGGGAAAAGTGAAGAATTTTATATCTACTATTGAAGCTAAAATCATTACTTGGTGATGTTGTACTTTTGACGTGGTGAATAACCACCAAATCGGTGAAAAGTAGGGTTTCAGCACAAAACTATTTAAAATGAATGCAAATAACAAGCCCCTAAAGATGTCAAAAGAACGTGAAGTTTTGGGTATGAGGTCACATTTTATAATAACCAACGATGATTCGGAACAGTGCACAAATGGACCAAATTATGGACAAAAAACTTGATTTTTTTTTCTGGTTGCTCTAGAGGCCACAATTATGACCCAAACATCACGAAATTTTACATAGAGAAAATGGGTGGGATAAGAAAGCGGCTGACCATTGAATCGACTTTCGACTAATTGATTAATCGACTTTTTGTACTGAAAAGTCTAAAAGTGGAAGTCGACTTTTGATCTTCGAAGAAATCGCAATGTCGAGTTTCGATCTTTCTTATAAATACTTATATTTATTATTATCTCAAAGCCGATTAAAAGCATTAAATTTTTAGTCGATTTTGCATTAGCCGGTAAAAGTCGAAAATCGATTTTGAACAGGTTTGACGAAATCGAAAGATCGAATAGTCGACTTTTTAGTTAAAGGCAAAAAATCGAGAAGCCTAAAAATCGTCTTTTTGGTCAGCGGCAAAAATCGACTATACCAATATGTGGGAGTTATACTTAAGGGGACCCCCCCATTCAAAATTTTTTTTTTTGATTTGATTTTTAGAATCTACACTAATTCAATAATGTCCCTTCAAAATTTCAAGTGAAAATCTCAAGAACTCTTGAAGATATAGCCGATTTATTGTGTCAGAATCAAGTGACGGCTGAAGGGCTTTTCAAACTTTAAACGCGTTTTTCTCTTTTGCGAATGGCGGGCACGATAACTGAAAAACTAATAACCCAATCGATTCCAAATTTGTACACTTTTCTCTGTGAGTGTATACCTATTGTATGAACTAGGATAAAGCCAATCGGTGAAGATCTACCTTATTTTTTAACTTGGTTTTTGGTAAAAAATCCGTGGTTTTCAAAAAATATTTTTTCAAAAGTCCGCCATTTTGTAATCCTAGTTCATACGAGAGCCAGACATGTACTCTTTCTAACACCGTTGGAATTTTCGGATTCCGATGTTCCAGTGCCCGCCATCAAAAATAACGACTTTTCTTTAATTACAAAAACAACAACAAAACAATAACAAAAATTTTTTGTAAATTATTTTTCTTCTTTTTTAAATCTTCAATTACACTGTGCAACACAAAAAATAATTACCGGGAAATTCAAACAGATTATGAAAGAGGGGCTAAAAAAAAGATGGCACGTGTATCGGCGTTTTGAAAGTTTACGTCGTGAGGTAACCTAAAATGGCGGGGCAATATTCCCCCTTTTCAAGCATTTTGATCCTTTTTGAATTATGATTTCTTGAAATCCTTGCATTCTAGGTATGTAGTGTCTTCGGCAATATTACTGATGAAATATCGAGGAATATTTTGGTATACAACTATAACCCTCAACCGACTCATTGAAGGGGTCTTTTCGGTCCCCTTTTCCACGAGTAATTGAAAACTCATTCAAAACGGGGTTATAGCTGCTCAGAATATTCCACAGAAATGTTCGCCATAAAATTTTACTATAAGTCTCAGAATAGACTAAAACTCAAAAATCAGCCTAAAAGCCAAAAATCTTAAAAAATCAAAAACTCATTTTAGGGTTAATATCGTACTTATTACTAGTTTTTACCCATTTTTCCCACAAGTTGACGTTTTAGAAGGATGGTACAAGGGACAAAAATATTATCCATCAATTTTTAGCATAAGTCACTTAACAAGAGAAATCTGTATGTATAATGTATATTCCGAATATATAGTCATATATTTGAACCAAAAATTCAAAATGTTCTTGTATTTTTTCCAAAGACATTTCCCAGTATTTTTTTTCGATAAAGTGCATTAAAGTAATATTAATCTTAATTTTAGGTATATAATGTCAAAGAATAAAATAATCTACGTCAAAATTCACTTTAAGTCTTAAAATAAACTATATATTTATATCCAATAGTTTTTAAGAAATTTACAGTATAAAATTATATATAATAACAACAATTTTTTTGCAGACTTCAGTTAATTTTATACTGTAAATTTCGTAAAAACTATTGAATATAAATATATAGTCTGTTTTAAGACTTTAAGTGGATTTTGGCGTAGATTATTTTATTCTTTGACATTATATACCTAAAATTAAGTTTCATGTTACTTTAATGCACATATTCGAAAAAATACTGGGAAATGCCTTTGGAAAAAAATGCAGAGATTTCAAGAAATCATAATTCGAAAATGATCAAAATTCTTGAAAAGGGGGCATATTGCCCTGCCATTTTAGGTTACCTCCCGACGTAAACTTTCAAAACGCCGATATACGTGTCTTCTTTTTTTAGTCCCTCTTTCATAATCTGTTGGAATTTCCCGGTAATTATCGAAAAATTGAAATTTGTCGCACAGTGTTATATATGTGTAAAGTTACAAACCTTAACAAGCTTTCGTATTGATTTACCAGCCCATTGAAAATCTTGAAAAATTAAAATCGAGAATGGGGGGGTTCCCTTAAATAGTTACATTACCATTGCCACACTAGGGGCGGAAATGTCGGGATGATGAGTTATGAAATTATACACCAGTTCCGGTTATGGTAATAGACGACACCTTTAATTTCCGGTGATGATCGGATGATTTTTTGTGGATGAAATGGACAAAAAACTATATTTTTATCTGTTCGAACATCACGAAATTTTACATTGAGTTGTTTTGACAGGGCAGGGGCACACAAAAGAAAAAAAAAAATAAAATTAGCATGTATCATTAACCTACCACTTGTTATTGTACCATAAAATAAACCAACAAATTTTTGTGTAATATAACAAAATGATTAGTCCGGGAAAATCTGATTCGGAAATGATGTAAGAGTAAGAACGAGGGAGGAGCTGTTGATCTATAATCGGTCAAGAGGATACAAATATCGCGAAATAATGCCACTGAATATAGATCTGCAGAAAGTTACAGTTGTGTAGGGCATAATCGGCCCTTCCGACTTTATTGCTCCGCTCACTTGTTTCGATATCATAAAGGAACATTTGTTAACGTAATCCATATCGTTTTCATATCCTTCATGTAACTTTACTTCGTTTTCTCTGAAATCAAATAATATTTTTAAGATAATTAATAAGATTTTATTTTAAAGTTTTTTTCGACATCGATTTTCTCAGTTTGCAGGCAGGTGAAGTTCGAAGATGGGTTAAATTGGCCAATGTATTTCTTATACAACCGAAATTGTGTTCATCCCAATTTTCGGTATTTTTTTCACTTTTTCCAGTCGAAGTGGATGTAATTCCAAATAGTTGGATTATTATATTTCGATTTGCGTTGAAGTCAAGTGATAGAGCTGACAGTATACATTGATATTTCGATCCCGTAATGGATAACAGTAGATATTTTCGATTCCTTATAGATAGTCCTTAATTGCTGCGGTCCCTATCATTTGTACGGTGAAATAGTTGTTAAAGCTTGCGTAGAAGCCGGAACTCATCATGTGGATCTGAGTGGTGAGCCGCAGTACATTTCTGCGATGCAATTGAAATATCACGAATTGGCACAATCTAGTGGATCGTACGTAATATCGAATTGTGCCTTTGAAAGTATTCCTGCTGAATTGGGTGTCCTATATGCTGAGGAGAATTTTCCTGGTAAGTTGTATGTTGCTTAGTTTGATTTAAAAAAATCGATGTAATACTTTTTTGGAAATTTTCCACAATTGTTAGCTACAGTAGCACGTTGCAAAATTGTGTTCAAATATTGGAAATAAAATGAAAGATTATACGCATATCCGCCAAATAATCCGACATCGATTATTTCACTTTGAGAAAAAGTCACAAAAATTTTTAACAACAACAAAGATCTAAAATATCTGAGTCATTAACTGATTAAACTATCGAATTTTTTAAAATAAATTATTTTAGTTTGTCCATCAGAAAAACAAAATATTTAATGGATAACAATGTATATGGATAACAATTATTTATATATTTCAGGAATTGTCAATTCGGTTGAGCTATACTGTATGGTGGTGCCGAATTATGTAGATACCACATCGAAAGCTATATTAAATAGCGGCACCTGGGACAGTGCTATTGTCAGTATGCAATATGCTCGACAAATGTGGCAGTTGGAAGGAAAATTGAACAAGGAACCGTTGCCCAGATTAAGACCGAAACTATGGATGAAGTAAGTTAGGGGGAGGAAATTATTTGAATGTTAAAAGTAAGTTCATTAATTTAAGTTGGGTATTAATTTTATATGGTCGTCACAGACAGGACTCCTCCATTATATGATTTTAAAGCCTACAGTGGGGGAGAGTCCTCCAGAGCTGTTAGAAAAATTCTGGAACTTCTCTCCAACACCAACACTCGAATAACAATTTTTATACCCTTCACCACTCTGTGGTTTCCTTTTGCCTGTAACAGGCAAAAGGAAACGAGATAGACACATGGTTCCTTTTGAGAATATGCATAGAATCACTTTCTGAGTCGATTTATGCATGTCCGTCCGTCCGTCCGTCTGTCCGTCCGTCTGTCCGTCTGTAGATGTTAAATTGTAAACAAAGTACAGGTCGCATTTATGATCCGATTTGAATGAAATTTGCCACAGGTCACTTATTTGGCCCAAGGACGAACCCTATTGAAATTGGGAAAAATCGGTTCAAATTTAGATATAGCTCCCATATATATATTTAACCGATTTAATGTAAACGGTCCCTATATATCTTTCGATTTGCACGAAATTTGGTACAGCCCAATCATTTAGGTCTAGAATGATGTGTGCCAAGTTTCGTGAAAATCGGTCCAGATTTAGATATAGCTCCCATATATAGTTTCGTCCGATTTCATGTAAATGGTGCACCAAAGTCCCTATATATCTTTCGATTTGCACGAAATTTGGCATAACGTACTGAATTGAGCCTTGAAAGATGTCTGCCAAGTTTCGAGAGAATCGGTCCAGATTTCTATATAGCTCCTATATATAGTTTCGTCCGATTTCATGTAAATGGTGCACCAAAGTCGCATAACGTACTGAATTGAGTCTAGAATGAATGTCTGCCAAGTTTCGAGAAAACCGGTCCAGATTTCTATATAGCTCCCATATATAGTTTCGTCCGATTTCATGTAAATGGTTCACCAAAGTCTCTATATATCTTTCGATTTGCACGAAATTTGGCATAACGTACTGAAAATCGGTCCAGATTTAGATATAGCTCCATTTTATTATAGATTGATTATAAGTAATTGACGCACCAAGGATCCAATAGGCTGATAGGAACAAAACGTTCTGAAATTAGTATAACATAACCTGTGACAAGTTTGTTTGAAATCGCTTAATATTTGGATAGAGCTTCCATATATATTTTCGCCCGTAAATTGGGCATCAAACTCCTCATGTTAGTCAGATTGACATCAAAGTTTGCACAACGTACAAAATTGAGCATAAAATTACGTAGTTGCGTTTTCTAGAAGTACAGACATAGCCCAACGGATGACCTATTTATATTTGTTTGAAGTCGATTTACATACTTTATGGATAGATCTAGGTAGATTCATATTTAGATAAATATCACATATTTTATTTCATCCAATTTCATGTTAATAGTCCTGTTTAATATACCCATAGTGGTGAAGGGTATCATATAGTCGGCCCCGTCCGACTTTACTACTTTCCTTACTGGTTTTATTTGTTCTTTTTCAGAATTTATCCCCACAAAATTGAGGGTGCCAGTAAATACTTTGCTCCATTTCCCATTACTGATACTCCCGTAGTGGAGAGATCGCAGCGTTTATTTTATGTTCATGAAAATAAAAGACCAATGCAATTCCAGATGTATATTGGGTTTACGTAAGTATCTATCAATTTGTTTTAATTCAAATTTGATCTGTAAAACCGAAAATGTATTTCTTCCCATACAGCTCCTTCTTTCTGGCTATGATGTTTCCATTGTTCTTACTATTTATTGCATTAATGGCACAGTGCGGTTGTACGCGCAGCCTCTTATTTAAATATCCACATTTCTTTACGCGTGGCACAATGACCCATCAAGGACCCACAGAGGCTAACAGGAAGGTAGCTGAATTTATATACATTCTGAAAGCTAAGGGCTGGACAAGAGGTACTGCAGATTCGGAAGCACCAAATAAAGAAGTAGTTGTGCGGGTTTCTGGCAAGGATCCCTGCTATGGTATAACCAGTACCTGTTTACTGATGTGCGCCAAAGTCATTTTGAAACAACACCAACAAATGCCAGGAAAGTAAGTAGAATAATTAATATTTTAATTTTTATTCTTTAATTCTCCACATCCTTCCTCATTTTGTTGTACTGTTTTTGCTTTTTCGTAGTGGTGGCGTTTTTCCACCTGGCTTTGCATTTGCCAAAACGCAATTACTCGAGGAGCTGGGCGGCTACAAATCTGGTTTGAAATTTGAAGTATTGAAGCCATGAAATTGTTCAACTATTTGTTTTTCTATTTTTTCCTGTTACAATAAACAAAAACAAACAGCGTATTTGTATTTATTTTATATTGCATGCGAATTGTTGTACGACATTCATATCGAATTTCCATAATCATAATCCTCCTTGATCGGCGCCACACAGTTTAGTCGGATGTCAGCGGCGCATGCGCACGGGTATCTATCATTTGAAGACAATTACATAGGCCGTTAGTTGGTAGAGTATTTACCGTTTGGATGCTGGGACTGCTACTGCTGCCGTCGACATTTGTATCGGCTGTCGCCTTAACTACCTACCTACCTCCTGATCGACAACAAGTTTTGTTTTGCATTTGCTTGTCAATTTTACTTTTCAACGATTATTAATTGTCTGTTTCAATGGTTTTGAGTTATTTTCTTCAAATGAAATCGATATTGTGGTAAGAGGGTGAATGGTAAAGGGGTGCAAAATATCATAACACAATGCGGGCGCATTGATCTGAATAACTGAAATACCAAATGAATGAATAGCCACGAGGGCTGCTATATATTTCCGGCCTTATATTGCAGTTGATGACAAGATCAAATAAGTTAATTTTTTGCAGGACGGTACGCATACATGTGGCAGCTATTGGTTTTTGAAGGACTTTTGCTAGTAGGTAACAAGTCATAAATTATTGTTTTTGACCATCTGCATGGACAAATTATCAGTTCGACGGCTTTTGTTTAGTTGACTTCCTCCTACATGGCTAATGTCCTGGGGACATTATATTCTTCAGACATCTCACTTATTCATATTTCTATGCTGTAATCGCCAACATGACTTTTTCTGATTGTCCACAATCAGGGACCGAAAATAACAATTATTTTTGAAAATGTGAACAAAAAATCTTCATGTTAGAGACATGGGACCGACACCTATAGTGGCATATACCAATAGATTCGTATTGACGAGCCTATTAAGGATACTGGGTAATCTTGAGCAAACACTCTCAATTCCATGTAAATACTTATTATTCAACGGAAAAAATAAACTTTGATTTTTAACTGTTAAAAATGAATGTTATTTTTTCCGTCATAAATAAAAATCATTTCAGGAGTTTTTTCCGTCAAAAACAAAACACTCTTTACGTTTTTATACCCTTCACCACACTGTGGTACAGGGTATTATGTCTTTGTGCATATGTTTGTAACAGACAAAAGGAAACGAAATAGACACATGGTTCCTTTTAAGAATATGCATAGAATCACTTTCTGAGTCGATTTATGCATGTCCGTCCGTCTGTCCCTCTGTAGATGTTAAATTGTAAGGAAAGTACAGGTCGCATTTATGATCCGATTTGGCAGAAGTCACTTATTTGGCCCAATGACGAACCTTATTGAAATTGGTGAAAATCGGTTCAGATTTAGATATAGCTCCCATATATATTTTCGTTCGATATAGGCACTAAAGTCCCTATATATCTTTCGATTTGCACGAAATATGGCATAGGGTACTGAATTAGGTCCAGAATGATGTGTGCCATGTTTCGTGAAAATCGGTTCAGATATAGATATAGCTCTAATATATATTTTCGTCCGATTTTATGTAAATGGTGCACCAAAGTCCCTATATCATTCGATTTGCACGAAATTTGGCATATCGTACTGAATTAAGCCCAGAATGGTGTGTGTTAAGTTTCGAGAAAATCGGGTCAGATTTAAATATATCGCATATATATATTTTCGGCCGATTTTAGGTAAATGCGGCACCAAAGTCCCCATATATTTTTGGATTTGCACGAAATTTGACATGGCGTACTGAATTAGTTTCAGAATGATGTGTGCTAAGTTTCGTGAAAATCTGTTCAGATATAGACATAGCTCCCATATATATTTTCGTCCGATTTTATATAAATGGTCCACCAAAGTCCCTATATATCTTTCGGTTTGCACGAAATTTGGCATATCGTACTGAATTAAGCCTAGAATAATTTGTGTTAAGTTTCGACAAAATCGGGATATAGCTCACATATATATTTCCGTTCGGTTTAATTTAAATGGTGTACCAAATCCCCTATATATCTTTCGATGGTATAGGGTACTGAATTAGGTCCAGAATGATGTGTGCCATGTTTCGTGAAAATCGGTTCAGATATAGATGTAGCTCTAATATATATTTTCGTCCGATTTTATGTAAATGGTGCACCAAAGTCCCTATATATGTTTCGATTTGCACGAAATTTGGCATATCGGACTGAATTAAGCCTAGAATAATTTGTGTTAAGTTTCGAGAAAATCGGGTCAGATTTAGATATATCGCATATATATATTTTCGTCCGATTTAATGTAAATGTTGCAACAAAAACCCTACATAGCGTACTGAATTGAGTTTAGAATGGGATGTGTTATGTTTCGAGAATATCGGTTCAGATATAGATATAGGTCCCAAATATATATTTTCGTCCGGTTTTAGGTAAATGGTACACCAAACTCCTAATGTTTGTCCAATTGACACGAAATTTTGCACAACGTACCATATATATTTCGAACGAGTGTCTGATTAAGACTATATTTTTAACAGTGCGGCATACTGAGTAGCGTGTATCAAGTTTGCTATAAATCGATTTCCGTAAATTTGTTCCATTGTACGCAAACGATTCTAAATCTGCCCGATTGAAATTAAATTTAGCAGTTGCAGAAAGGTGTATGTTCCTTTGAGAGAACATTGACATGGATTTGTTAGGATACATATGGGAAATTACAAAATTCTTTTAAAATTCCATAAAAAAAATGAAAAATGTTTTCGCGAGCACATTCATGATTTTTGGTACATAGGTTAAGGAAAATATGCTGATTCAAAATCTGTTCGCGTTCACAAATTCGGATGCTGCGCACAAAAGTTATAGCGGTTTTAAATCTTATATTTCAAATATAAATTAAATTAATTCCCATTTGTTGTAATTCGCGAATTTCTTGACAAATGGTTAAACACATTTGTTTTCTTTGCATAATAGTCAAATCACATTGAAATACGGTTTAATAGTCGCAAAAAACAAATAAAAGCATGAAAATATCTGAAAATAAAATAAATTAATTTTTGAATTGCAACAAAATGTTTTTTTTTTCAATTTTTGATTTTTATACCCTTCACCACTCTGTGGTACAGGGTATTATGTCTTTGTGCATATATTTGTAACAGGCAAAAGGAAACGAGATAGAAACATGGTTCCTTTTGAGAATATGCATAGAATCACTTTCTACGTCGATTTATGCATGTCCGTCCGTCCGTCCGTCTGTCCATGTTAAATTGTAAACAAAGTACAGGTCGCATTTATGATCCGAATGGGATGAAATTTGGCATAGGTCACTTATTCGGCCCAAAGACGAACCCTATTGAAATTGTGAAAATCGGTTCAGATTTAGATATAGCTCCCATATATATATTTAATCGATTTAATGTAAACGGTCCTTATATAACTTTCGATTTGCACGAAAGTTGGTACAGCCTAATAATTTAGGTCCAGAGTGATGTCTGCCAAGTTTCGAGAAAATCGGTCCAGATTTAGATATAGCTCCCAAATATAGTTTCGTCCGATTTCATGTAAATGGTGCCCCAAAGTCCCTATATATCTTTCGATTTGCACGAAATTTGGCATAACTTACTTAATTGGGCCTAGAACGATGTCTGCCAAGTTTCGTGAAAATCGGTCCAGATTTAGATATAGCTCCCATATATAGTTTCGTCCGAGTTCATGTAAATGGTGCACCAACGTCCCTATATATCCTTCGATTTGCACGAAATTTGGCATAACGTACTGAATTGAGCCTAGAGTGATGTCTGCCAAGTTTCGAGAAAATCGGTCCAGATTTCTATATAGCTCCCACATATAGTTTCGTCCGATTTCATGTAAATGGTGCACCAAAGTCGCTATATATCTTTCGATTTGCACGAAACTTGGCATAACGTATTGAATTGAGCCTAGAGTGATGTCTGCCTTGTTTCGTGAATCGGTCCAGATTTAAATATAACTCCCTTTTATTATAGATTGATTTTAAGTAATTGACGCACCAAGGAACCAAAAGGAACAAAACGTTCTGAAATTAGTATAACCTAACCAGTGACAAGTTTGTTTGAAATCGCTTAATATTTGGATAGAGCTTCGAAATATAGTTTCGCCCGATTTCAAGTAAATTGGGCATCATACTCCTCATGTTAGTCAGATTGACATCAAATTTTGCACAACGTACAAAATTGAGCATAGAATTACGTAGTTGTGTTTTCTAGAAGTACAGACATAGCCCAACGGATGACCTATTTATATTTGTTTGAAGTCGATTTACATACTTTATGGATAGATCTAGGTAGATTCACATATACATAAATATCACATATTTTATTTCATTCAATTTCGTGTTAATAGTCCTGTTTAATATACCCATTGTGATGAAGGGTATCATATAGTCGGCCCCGTCCGACTTTAATACTTTCCTTACTGGTTTGGTATGGTTAAGATAATTTGGTTTAGTCTAGATCTTCTACAACTCGTGGCGATTTCTTCTACAAATTCTTTCAGATGATTGTTAAATATCGATAGATTCCTCTGTTTTGACTTTAAAAATGACCAAATATATTGCAGTTACAGTATATGAAAATGATCAATATTGAAAAGCATAAAACGCGATTTTATACGCGAATTTGTCGAAATAAGTATTTATAGTTTTTCCCACATTCAAGGTACCTATGTCCGCCATTTTATTGGGCGGAATTGAAAATGGATGGGCTCATTAGATCCGGCACGTAAAAAAAAACTAAAATCACGCGGTATTCCACGGAATTTTAATGGACTTTCTTAATTTTAGACTCAAAAAATAGGTTTTTTATAAAAATTTACGCACCAAATTTTCGTCTTTGGAACCCAATTGCAAAGAAGGTACGGTGAGCACATTCATGAGATATACACTAAACGAAGCAAAATCACGAGTTCTACAATCCTATAAATAGTTTAGTCTATTATCTGGATGCGCATCCTA